TATTAGGAAATGTGCGGGGGCTGGGAACAAAGCACTGATTCCATGTCGGGAGCATCTGCTCCTCTGCTTCTCATTGCAATGGCCGCCCCTACTATGTCATCATGTTGAAAGAGAGCTCGCCGGTGGCATGGCCGTCCTCTTGCTGGGCTGTCATTGGGCTCCTCTGGCTTCACCGCCTTGGTTCACTGTTTCAGTTGCTAATAAAGACTCCTGACTTTCCTTTTAACTGGACGGCGTACTGGTTCCGGGTCGGAGATTCAGAAACAGTGACGTGTCTGGTCTGGTGAACCCAACCCCGGGGTTGGCCAGTGTCCTAGCAACCAATGACTTGGTTGCTAAGATGCAGGCGAATGCACCTAACATGCGATGGGGTCATTGCTGCACATGCGCAGTTACTTAGAAAGTCTTTCATTGTAGACGTCGGAGCCTGGAGTGGATGGTCCCTTCAAGTCGGTGAAAAGAGCGGTCTTCATGTATTTAGAGGTGCGGTCTGGGAGGGACCAACCAATAAAGTAGATGTAATGTGCGGTCCCCAAATATTTAGAGGTGGGGTCTGGGAAGGACCAACCCAATAAAGTAGATGTAATGGGGGATCTCCCCATATTTACTGGCAGGGTTTAGCTGGGACCAGCCCATAAAGTGGGTGTAATGGGTGGTCCCTCCATATTTAGAGGTGGGGTCTGGGAGGGACCAACCCATAACGTCGATGGAACAAGCGTACCTCTCATATCTAGTGGCAGGGTTTGGGCAGGACCAACCCATAAATTTGGGGTGATGGGTGGTACCTACATATTTGGAGGTGGGGTCTGGAGGGTGACCAACCTGTAAAGTGATTGTAATGGGCCAGCCCTGCATATTTAGAGGTGGAGTCTGGGAGGGACCAACCCAATAAAGTAGGTGTAACGGGTGGTCCCTTTTATATTTAGAGGTGGGGTCTGGATGGGAACAACCCATAAAATAGGCATGATTTGGACACTCCCACACGGAAAGTGGGGGGACAAAATATAAACTGTGGGCGGGGTTAACAGTATCCCGGGATTCAGAACCATCACATAGGAAACTTTGTAGCAACATCCTTACCAACCTGGAGATCCTGCCAGTAACAGCACTTCCTGTTGCAGGCTGACCACCGTAAACCACCCCCCTATGAGCAGCGTTGTCAGCCTGCCGTGTGTTGGCCATCGGGCTGCCTATCGGGTCCATCAAACAAGCAAGCAACTGAAAGAGCTCACACAACAGGGTGACAACGCTGGTGCCAATTGCAAGGCATTGGCTTAGCGTTGTCACCCTCCAGCAGGAAGTGCTGTTACTGGCAGGATCTCCAGGTAAGAAACATTTGTAACAGATCCACAAAATGGAAAAAAATCAAATCGACTCTATACAGCGAGACGCGATGCCGAACCTGCGGAAAACCAGACTCCCAGTATACATGCACTTTAAATGGGGACGCGACCTACATGTGAGAACCGAGAGTGCCGAGTGCGCACAGCCTGAGCCCGGCCCCCCTCCGTCTTCATTATCTCACATCGCACATCCTAATCAGCCGATCCCTGGGAGAGAGGAGGGGGAGGGGAGCCCGGGATAGAGAACACTGGAAGGGAGGGGGTCCTAGAGCCGGGGGAGGGGAGCCCGGGATAGAGAACACTGGAAGGGAGGGGGTCCACGAGCCAGGATAGAGAACACTGGAAGGGAGGGGGTCCATGAGCCGGGGGAGGGGAGCCCGGGATAGAGAACACTGGAAGGGAGGGGGTCCATGAGCCGGGGGAGGGGAGCTCAGAACAAGGACCGAGCGTTGTCACCCTACAACTATCCTGCATGGAAGGATCACCAGGGATCCTGAAAGTTGCAGATTTATAAATATTAATAATGACTTGTGTAACGAGATGAACGTTCTCCTCCGAGGTCTCAGTGGTCGGCTTCCCGCATACAGACAGGAAGTGGGAGGAGTCCGGTGCTGCTGAGGATAACATTCAAAGCCTTCTGCCGCTGGACCAGCTCCGGACAATGGCCGCTTCTGCCTCCAGCTGGCCCAGTTCTGCAGGAATCTTACCCATAATCCCCCTCTTTATAGGACATTCACACCTGCCAAGGACGTCACGTCACTCAGCTGTACAAAGTAATTTTGACTGACATTAATCTTCTCACCGAGGCGATAAAACAAAACAAAAAAAACAACCAAACAAATAAAACCAAAAAAAATAAACAAAACAAAAATACACAAAAATATGAATAAAAAAGCAAACGGGTAAATAAAACAAAAACTAAATAAACAAATAAAAGGAAAATATATGAATAAACTTAAAAACCAAAACAAATGTAAAAAAAACAACAACAACAAAAAACAAATGCGTAAAATAAATAAATAAAACAAAAATTAAATTATCATGAAACAAATAAAACGAGCTAATAAATAAAAAAAAAGATACAAGAAATATTCCAAAATAATGTCCTTTAATGTACTATTCCAGAGGTTTATTCTACAGATTGGTGACCCGGAACTATTTGGCAAAGCATTTAATTTTTTTTTTCTTCTTATAATGTAAACTCCTTTATTTTGTGATAGGACGACTTTGTGTCTGCGGATTACAAGAGGTTTAAAATACTTTTTATGTACATTTGTATAATAATATGGATTTATTACATTTTATATATTAATCCAAATCAATCAATCAATCAATCTGGACTTTATAGCTTCTTATGATTTCCTATATATACATTATGTAACAAACTGTGATTTATTCATTTTTGTCTTTATTTTTGTGTGTATTTCTGTGAGTGCTTGTGGGGGGAGGGGTCACTCAGAAGTGGTTTTGGGATAACAGCAGAGAGGGGAGGGGGGGGGAATCAAGATGGCGCCTATTTATTTGCAACTGTCACACGTCGGCTCAATAGATCGGGAAGTGGGAGAACACATACCGGCGCTCGCCCACTTCTCCATCTCCCTGCAGAGAGCCGTGAATGTCACTCATGGCTCCCTGATCCTCCAGCGCTGACTGGCGGAAAGGACAAGGGACGGGGGCGGGCACAGCCTCTAGATAGGCAGAGCCAGCTGTCACTCATGCAGCTGGGTGGATCTGGACAGTATTGTCGGGTATATAGAGAGCTGTAGCTCCCTATATACTGAGCTTAGGGTCACGGGAGGACCCTTAGGAGATCTATGAGGGAGAAGCCCTGACCCCATAGTTCTCCTTTAAATATTTTTCTCTAGCTTTGTCTGGGTGACATGGGACAGGTTCTCTTTAAAGCCGGCAGCATGACTCCGAATGGTTCTTCATAACTTCCTTCGAGCGCGGAAAAGCATCGCGTCTACGCAATGAACAATGGCCACCGTTCCCATATAGGCCGGGGTCGGGGGGCCACGGTGCATTGGTGTCCCTGACCACGTGTAAGGGGTTGGCGCTACATGAGCGCAGGTTTAGGCATTGCATTGATCGCTGAAGGGGGGGGGGAGTGAAACCGAGAGCCCCCCATTTCCCCCCAAAAATGGACAAAAATCTGGAGACTTCCCAAAAAATGTCACCATTTTGGCGGATTGCATTGGGGGGGGGTCGAAGGGTTTTTAGGGTGCAATCAGCTTTAAATGGGTTAGGGGTGTTATTTTCAACTATCCTGGATCTGTTTTTGTGCCAAAAAAAAGGGCTCCTTGTTACCCTCGTTGTTGTTTTAGTTTTTTCTTTTTTTCAAAAAGAGCGAGGGGGGGAAAAAGTAAAATAAAACAAAAATACAAAAGCGACAGTACGCAGATAATGATAAAATACGCACACAAAAAAAAGACTCAAATGCATACACAAAGAAAAAAAAAATAACAATGATATAAAATAAAAAATATAAGTAGATTTTTTTTCAAGCAAATTTTGGATTATTTACCAGCAAATTTGGACTAGTTGCCCTCTGACTTAAATGAAGTGTGTTTCATTTTTTGGGGGGGGGATTTATTTTTTCAAGCAAATTTGATTAAATAAACTTTAAAAATACCAGAATTACACCCCCATAAAAAACACATTTTTAAATAAGGGAAAATAAGTATATATTTTTTTTCAAGCAAATTTGTCATTTTAAAATCAAATTTAGGATTCTTTTTTCAAACAAAATTGGGTTTTTGTTCACAGAAATTTTAGGGGGTTTTATTCCCAAGCAAATTTTGGGAATTTTAAAACAAATTTAGGATTTTTTTCCCAGCAATTTTGGCCTAGTTGCTCAGTGAGTGAAATGAAGTGTTGATGCTTTTTGTGCTTC